CATAGTCAGTGAGTGGGAACTTGTCTTTAATTTTGCTGCCTGTATTACTTTGATTCAGATGAATATTAGCTTGCGCACCTGCAATGCTGGCTACATGTGTTTTTGAAAAAAAACAGGCTGGGAAGGTGAGGAGGTGGTGGGTTTGTTATTTATATGAGAGAGCAACTGGAATGTATGGAGGTCTGCTTAGGAGTGGATGAAGAGCAAAAACTTATGTGTAATGATAAAAGGGTAGGTAACATGGGTGATGTTGGTGTGCATGGTTATTGCACACCCCCCTGATCAGGGAGAGGAAGTTGAGGCCTTCTCAGGCCCTGAGACAGCTGCAAGTGGTACTCTCAGGCCCTGGTTCTCATTAGGAACTTCAACTGTCCCCTGTCCCCTGGGGCTGAGGGTTGGTCTGCTGGAAAGCAGGTTTGTAGAAATGGACGTGAGCATCCTGGCTGTCAACAAGTTGACTAGGAGCCGGCACTGTGTCCTTGTGGCCAAGAAGGCCAATGGTCTTCTGGGGTGCGTCAGGAAGAGCGTTGCCAGCAGGTGGAGGGGCCTTCACTGAGCCCTGGTGAGGCCACAGCTTGAGTACTGTGTGCACTACTGGGCACCAAAGCACAGAGAGAGGTGAAGCTACTGGAGTCCAATGGAGGACTATGAAAATGGTTAGGGGACAGGAGCATCCCTATGAGGAAGGCTGAGAGAGCTGGGCCCCTTTAGCCTGGAGAAGACTGAGAGGGGATTGCATCAGGGTATGCAAATTCCTTAAGGGAGGGTGCCAAGAGGATGCGAGCAGCCTATTTTCAGTGCTTGCCAGGGATAGGACAAGAGGCAAAGGCTACAAACTGAATCCCAGGAAGTTCTGTCTGAACATGAGGAAAGGCTCCTTGACTGTGACAGTGACAGAGCCCTGGCACAGGCTGCCCAGAGAGGTTGGGGAGTCTCCTCCTCTGGAGATCTTCAAAACTCCGCCCAGGTGTGATCCTGCCCAATGTGCTCTCAGTGACCCTCTCTGAGCAGGCGGATGGACTGGGTGGTCTCCGGGGTCCTTCCCAACCTCAACCGTTCTGTGGATATTGTAAGGTGGTGATGAGAACATGTGGCATAAGCTGGTGAAAAATGATTGTGAACAGAGCAAACAGGAGAAATGATGGAATTAAGTTTAGCATTTATTTCTGTGAAATATAAGTAAATATAATTTCTAATTTCTGTCTTTTAGCACAGTGACAGCTGTTGGAAATCTAAATGTATGGATCTGTTCAAATATTATTCATCCTAACTGCTTCCCAAACAGAGATAAGGAAGCTCTTTTTTTTTTTTTTTTTTTTTTTTTCCTGATGAAGATTAATGATACGGAGTAATGGGAGACCCTTCCCTTACTTCTGCCACTCTTACTTCAGGCCTTCTCTTTTTCTTTCATTCTAGAGGCTACCTCTGGCCCTGATGACCTTTGTCATCATGTGGAGGAATGACTCATTTTTGTTAGGTTTAATGTAAAGAATAGTTTTGGAAAGGAAACAGTGGAACTCTCCCTACTTGCCCAATCCCCTGCCTTTCATCATCAACTTCCATCTCTAGCTTCTGAATGGTGCCTCACAGAAGGGAAGAGGGAGGTGAGAAATAGAAACCATTAAGTCAAGCTAATAACAGCAGTGGTTACCTACTCTAGATTTTTTTTTTAATTAATTCAGCACATCACTGCTTCTTGCTTGAGGAGAGAATATCCCTTTCCAGTGATTTTTACAGAGCAGGATTGAATAATGTGGGACTAACGAAAACAGTAAACATTAGTTTCCACATCTTGGGAAGTGTTCCCTCAACAGGAACCAACTGTCTAGAGAGAAGAGTGGCTGCTTGGATCTGTCACTTTAGGGGATTTGCCTGAGTAGCAATTTGTGTAGAGGGACTGGAAGCGATTAGTGAAGGATGAATCATGAAATATGCTGACAAAGGCAAGAGTATACAAATAGATTTTGAAGAGCAGAATCATGAGGAAGAAAGCTGTCCTGGAGACAAAGTAATCATGAGATAAGGTGTCAACTGGGAAAGGCAGAAGTACCCAGAAAGCAGTCAGCCAGGATGATTAAACTGTTGGCAGGTAAAATAGACAAATTATGTGAGAAGATAGAAAATACAGGCAACGGAAGAAAAGAAAAAGGAAAGGAAAAGTTTTGGGGCATTTTTCATTTAGTTGGCTTGCAATAGAATGGACAAAGCAGGAATGAGTTGAGGTTGTTGCACACCTGCTGGAGTCCAAGTGCAGGATGAGCGACCCTTGTCTGTCGGAGAGAAGACGAATGACAGGATGGGCTGTCACAGGGGTTGGTTTCCAAGGCCTTCATTTTTATGCTCTTTTGACAGAGTTATGAGGAGGGCTGCATGTTCTCATTAGGCAGACAGGAAAGAAGTGCCCTCTCCTAGGCCATACCGAAACCCACGTCTGACTTAAACCACCTGGTAGAAGAAGTGTGGCCAAACTGATGAAAAGAAGTGCTAAGCTTCTACTGTGCATCAGTGTCATTGCTGTGATGGAGCACAGCCATGTCCTGTGGAACAGAACAACTGTTAAAGATTTTCCTTCTTTTTTTATTTTTTATTTTGAAAGTGAACTTATGGGGCTATTTGTTTCTGTTTTGGATTCAACATTCTCAGAATTTCTCAGCACTTACATGGTTTGATAGGAGTGCGTTAGTATAGCGAATTCTATCCCTGTGGGATTTGATGTTCTTCAAGACTTTAATAGTATTTGTGGCACAATCTTTTCTGCAGTAGCTATGTTATTTTATCCAAATCGGGCCTGAGTTTCAGTAGTAATTCTTGGAAAGTTGATTAACAGCATTTTCAGCTTTTCAGACAATTGATTCTCCTAGGAAAGCACACAAACACCCTTTGTGAAGTAGGCATATCTAAAATAACTTTGATGATTAGGTGATTTTCATTCCTGTTCTCTACAAACAAAAATGAAAAAGTATTTTTGAGTATTACAAAAGCAAGTGCAGCGAACCGTAGTAACTGTGATTACTGGTGAATTATTAGCATCCAGGAGGCTGCGATGTTGCTTTTTGTTTTGCTCTTTTCATCAGTTGGTTCCTTTTGATGGTTTTCTCATATTCTTGGTAGTCTTGGAATAATGAATACAGAAATTGAGCTGGCTCTGTAAAATAGCCAGTGCCCTTTTAAGCATATGTGGTCTTTTTTCGGTATCCCCTATGTTTTTAGCATGGAACAGAAATTACTCTGTGCCCATAGTTTTAGTAAGAAAGGGGAATGATCCATCTGAATCAAGGAAAACAACCCCCAGCCATTTCTTTCTTTCATCTCAGTTGTAATTTTCTTAGTTTCACAGCTTGGAGAAATGTAATGTCTCCATTCACCCTTAGCTTCTTGGTCAGACGTTTCAGGGCGCAGGTGGGAGGAAGAGCTTTGAATCCCCCCCCACCTCCCTATTTCTTCCCTTCTTTGCGATGCTGAGCTTCTCAGTGCTGCTTAGGGCAGGTGCGAGCCGGAACCGCGTCCTTTCCGCAGCTGGCTTTGCTGCAAAGCCAGACGCCACTGGAGGGTTCCTCAAGGGCCTCTCCCACTGCCGCCCATTCCTGGGAGACCTTTTTGTGCGGGGCAGTTGGGGTTCTCATCCTGCACGAGGGCTGGGCATGGCACTTAGTGCCAGGAGCCTCAGCTAGGGCATTTCCCTTTCCTTGCGAGGAGTTTTGTAGGGCTGGCTGCATGCAGTGTGTCAGCCTTGAGGGATAACTAAAAAATTACTTAAAAAAAAAAAAAAAAAAAAGGCAAAGCAATTGTGCGGTTAATAGAACAACTGAATAAGCAAGTATTTTTATAAGTTTTTTTGTTTGTTTTTTAGATTTCAGTTTTAAAAGATCACAGGCAGGATTCTAGCTGCAACTATTCTTAAGTTTATATAAAAAATTGCTTTCAGCAGTAGCACTCTGTTAGTTTGTTATTACTTGGAATAGACAGTTCCAAGAAAGAAAAGAAAGAGATAATTGGTGCATTTGTATGAAAATAAGAATAATTTAGCATGAGGATTCCCAAACTATTTCTCATTCAACCTGCAAAATACCCAGCAACTCAGAATGCAGTGTTTTCAGTAAAGAAGCAAGAGACTTGTTCCCCCAGCCATTTGGAAATGGTTTAAAGTAACCACAAGTAAAATGAAAGGCAACAATATTTGGCAAACTTGCAATAAGCTTAGTTCCCTAGAAACTTTTTATTTTGTATTTGATAAAAGTACTGATGCCATACCTGGGAAATGCAGCTCTGGGGAATAGCTAAGATTTTACTTGGCTTATGGGTTTTTGTTTGTCTGTTTGTTTTTCCCTTTTTTATTAAAAAAAAAGAAAAAGCCTCTTGTGCATCAAAAGAAAAGCGTTTTGGAAGTACATGTAAGAGCTTTGTGGATAAATCTTATCTCATGGGGCTGATTTGGCTTTCCTGATAGAATAAAGGGAAATGCATTCAATTAGTAGCAGGATTTTAAAAGTAGCTTTTGTGAAAAAGTTTCCCTCCTGTACATCATTAAGTGCTGAAATTAAGCCATGTGCTGCCCATAGCAATATGTTTTCAATTAAGTGTATTTCACTAATCTATACTATGATGATTTTTTTTTGAGTGCAGAAGCTTTTATCACTGCGTGATCCTCTACAGAACTTTACATGTTCTTTAAGAAATAAAATTGTTCCTTATGAGGTTGTATATTTAGATCAGCATGTTAAAAGCACATTTGTATGCTGCTGAAAGTACCATGAGAGCTGCAGATGATTTGGGTGTTTTTGATGCCTAAATTCCACTTCTGGTACACACTTCATTCTGAAACAGAGACCATTAGAGTAGATGTTGTCTCAAAAAGTTTGGCTTGTGATTGGGCTAAAACAAAAACAAAACTTGTCACATAAGATAATGGGCTAACAGATCTTGCCAAATTATTCCATTTACTGAAATTCTTTCTTAAAATAAAGAGAAATCAAAATGAATGGTTGCCTTTGTTGTTTCAGGAACTGCAGTTTGAAAGATTGACTCGAGAACTTGAGGCTGAACGTCAGATTGTCGCCAGCCAGCTGGAGAGATGTAAGCTTGGATCAGAAACTGGAAGCATGAGCAGCATTAGGTAACGTACGACTTGCTAATGTCTTTGCTCTGGTAATGAATTAACATGGAGAACAAATTATATTGATCATCTTCTTGTCAAAAATTATACATGAGGGAGTGAGAGCTTTTAGTAGAGTTTGCAAATTTGCATTTTGACCCAATTTTTTTTTACAGAATGTTTCAACCAGAAGATGAATTTCTTTGCAATCTGGTATATGATTTATCCACTAATAAAATGATAGTCACATCTGCAGTTCACTGACTTGCTGTAAGATTAGATTAATAACCAAAACTCCCATTTTCCCATGCAATTTTGACCAAAATACTGGACCATTTTTGACCAAAAACTTTTTAGCTTCATATTTAAGGAAATGTATTGATAAGTATATGAATCTGTTTTCTTATCATTCCATCATTCAAAGCATTAAAAGCTTTAGAGATCATTTCAGATGCATGTAGGGTATAATTATGTAAAGCTTCTACTGATCTCGCATCAAAATGTAATGATAAAGTAGGACTCTCCCTTTTTTAAAGCCTAGCTTTCTTAAATTAGGCCTTTTAGGCACCATGCTTGGATGATGATAGGATTCTTTTAAGAAAGTGTTGTAACAAAAGGAAGCTCATCTCTGGATGCCTTGGTTGAGAACAAAAGTTTTGTAATTTTTAGCTATTTGATGGTAGTTAGTTAATTTTCTCAGGTGAACATAATAAATGAAAGTTGGTATAATTTCAGTTTCAAGGATCCAGAAAAAAAATATGTATTGTATTACTTCATCACCAGCTCAGCTGAGAAAGTCAGCTAAGCATCACTTTATATAAAAATTCGACACTGAATGGACACAACTTCTTTGTTCACAATAAGTGTGATATCTTTCTAATACATGAGGTGAGGCACAATATGCTGAGCTTAGTGAAGTGTTATATGGTATTAGTAGAAAAAGAACAAAAATATCTGTGATTATTGTATTAAGCTTTTTCTTCGTTCATGCAATTCAAGCTGCTCCTCAATCAAATAAATTAATATTTTCTCAGATATCTAGGAAATAATTACTGAGTAGAACACTAAAGATGAAACAAAATTGGTGAAAGTAACAGTTCAATTAAAACAGCAGAAGGCAGGAGAATCCTTCATTAATTCAGTAGAATCTGTCCATAAAGTTGACTTAATTATGAACAGTCTTAACAGTAAATCAGCTGAGAATTGATTTCCTAAAGAGAAAAACATCTTAATGCTTGCTATATATTTTTTTCTACCAACTAGATTTATATGAAAATTATGTGAATATTATATTAACATTAGAGAGACCACATTGCTTAGAGTTATTTAAACACTTATTAGGTAGCTTTTTTGCAAGGCACCACAGTATTATACTTGTCACTTAAGTGCATTCCCACATTACTTTAAACCTAATTCCTTTGAGATTATAGATTCAGTTCGGTTCAGTATAGTTCAGTGAAAATTAATTATAAAAAGTCATAGAACAGAATTAATGTAGCATGACTTCATGTCAACACTTGAACTGTATTTGCTTTCCTTCTTTAAAAACTGGATTTCAGGCTAAAAAATATGCAAGTGATGAGGATAGTTTTAACCAAGCAGTTTAAGTCTGCTATTTGAACTTTTACTTAAGGAACAGAAGATTATTGAGGTTAAAAATAATTGTACTTTCCTCTCGTTCATGTGGAGAGCAAAGAAAGAAAGAAAAAGAAATTTCACCCTGCTTCTTTCTGGGAAGATAATTTATTGCCCCCAAATCTGAATCTGAACATGACGGCAGCCTCCTCCCGAGACTGATCACTGGTTTGGGGAAAAGGGACAGGGATGGTCAGAAAAGGAGATTCACAGTTAAGGAATGAAAGCTGAAAGGACTTAAGATGTACGGTTTCTTCTATGCCCACTATTTGGGGAAGCTGGTACCATCTGAAGAAACCATCTGGCTTTCAGTATCTCTGTCCCTCCTAGTTTTTTAATAGAACTTGCTCCTATCGGTAAATGGAGCGCCCTTAGGCCGGCGCTTCTTGGTATCGGCCGGCTGCAGGAGCAGCCGTGAGGCGGCCCTGGGGTTATCTCTGCCTGCCGCGCGTTCCCGCTGGCACGGCATGGTCTGACGGATGCGTAGCTTCCCGGGAGAGGGAGGGGAGCCTCCTCCTGCCTTTCCCTCCCTCCCCGGCACCTCATCCTGCTGAACATTCTATGGTGACTATGCTGAACATTCGTGGTGGACTTGTCCTGCAGGGCCTTGGGCCTACTGGGCTGTCTGCTCCGCCGTGCCCATCCATAGGGAATGGCCCAGCTCTGGGAAGAGCAGCGGCTTCTGCGGGGGGTAGTTGTCCCTGGAGTGGAGCGTGGGGAGGAGTGCAAGGGAAGCGGGCTTAGAAGGAAGGATAGGTTACCCTTCTTGCCTGCCTCCTGCCACACGGCATGAAACAGGGGAGAAAAAAGAAAAAAGTGTTTTGCAGAGGAGAGATCGGTTAATTGGTTGTAGGAACAGGGCTTCAAAAGGAAGCAGCAAGCACCAAAAAAAAAAAAAAAAAAAAAAAAAAAACAGGCCTGTGCTATGTAGGGAGGCATAATCTTAAGGTTTGATAAACTGGATGATGAAACACTGAAAAATTCAAACATTTTTCACCACTTGGAGAAACCTGCAAAGCCTTTGCTAGCAAGTATTTGTAAGGTGGAAATCATTAGAGGGCTACAGCGACTGTAAAACTGCAGCAACAAGCACCACACTAAAAGCCCAGGGAACGGGCATATGATGGGCACTGCTTTTCAGAGCAACAATTTTAGAGGTGCCCCCAAGGTAACAGAGGGATCGTAACTGCAGCAGACACTAATGCCGCTTCCAGCACGGAGGGGTTGTGCCACCTCCAGTGGAGCCCAAGGAGCAAATGGAATTTCCCGGGAAAGAGGAAGCACAGTCTGCACTTCCTCTTTGCAAGCAGCAGAACAGCTCTTTGCTGCCACAAAGCAGGATTTTAAAAAAATCAGCAGAGAGCTTTTCTTTCTGAAATTATGCTGGTTTGAGCATTTTGGTGGAAGAAAGGGACTTTTTCTTGAAATCAGAGTTTTTCTTATTACCTCTGAATAAACAAAGTAGTTTTATTTGGTTTGGATACGGGTTAGCTGAAAAAAAAAATCCTCCTAATTTAAAAGTTTATTCTTTTTTTTCCCCTAATAATCTTTGAATGCAAGAATGCATGTTTTAAACATGCTTTTAGGCAGAACACAAACCAAAAGGAGAAGTTATAACTATCATTAGTAAGCCTTTCTAGACAAAAAGCTTTCTAAAACAAGCTTTAGATCAACTGCATGTATTTTAAATGTTGTTACATTAAGGTGATTCTACCTGTAAGTCTCCTATAGACGTAAATACAGATCCTGCAATGATGTCACCATTGCTTGATGACATCTAGGGTTATTATTCAAATGCTCTTCCTTATTAAGGAGTAATCAAACTGGACTGATTGTAATCAGCATATTTTAACATTAGGAAGATGCTTTTTTTTACCACTTGGAAATAATACATTCAAAATATCTGAAAGGATTTTTTCTTGTTAATTTTTATTACTTGTGTCCATTAGTAACTGAATATCTAAAACTAGTATGTGGAGCATCTGTCCATATTTGAAATTTGAGTCAGGCTAAACTAACTTACTGTGTTGCTTACTAACATATCTTTCCAATATCTTAAACCAAGTACAGATACACAGAAATAGAAGTACTTACACGGTTAGAAACTTAATGCCAACTATATTGCGTTGTGGAGTTATCAGGAAGCTTATTCTCAGCTTTGCCTCTTTCAGTCTGTGCTTTCCTGAAGCCTTCATACATGTCTTAAGATTGTGCACTTGAAACTGCATCGCAGGACCGTGCTGAAGTCCTGCTACATTTCTTTTCATTTTGGCTTTCTGCACAGTCCTTGAAAACTGGTACCTGGCCCAAAAGAAGTCACGTATCCAGCTGTAAAGGTCCTTGTGGTTCAGTTCTGGATCATTAGGGACCTCATGTGTGCCTGCTTCTTGTCACAGAAACCAGGATCCAGAACGTAGCATCAGATGTATTTGCATAGTAAAAGGCACAGCAGATCCAGCCCAGAACAAGCCTATAAACTTCATACCCCCTCTCGGTCTAGCTGCACTAGTCAGATTGGTCAAGCCTGGCAAGAAGCAGGTCTAAATAGCGAGGCTCCTAAACAGCTGGCTCCTCTGTCCAAAGTCTCGCTCAACTCAAGGGACACAAACACTTTTGTTCTTCTTCAGGATGATTCACTAGCCTTGAAGAGTTGTTCTGGACATGCAAGGAAACACCACTGCTTTAGCACAATTCATCAGTTCTGTGCCCATGTCTCTAACAGTTGAGATGCATCAAAAATGCCCAGCGTAGATTCTCCTTGCTCTGTGCTTGGTCTTTAGACTTTCTGAGAGGCCGAGGGGACCAAAGGCCCTAGGAAGTTTACCAGAAGGACTTGTATGCCTTCCGCTCCGGAGCAGTTCTTGGCTGTGGAAGTAAGAGGGAAGCAAAGCAGTGGCCCCTGCTATAGCTGGGTAAAACATTTATGCTTTACATTAGGGCAGGACTTTGGGTGTTCTTCGTGTCATGGAGCTGGTGTGTTGGCCAGCAGCGAGCAGCTTGCCGAGCTTGCTTTGCTCGCGCGCTGCAATACGGATCCCCGTCACGTTCAACACTTCCCCATCCCATTGCCTCAGCTGCTCGTTCCTTCTGGGCCACGTCCTTCAACTTGGCCCTCCCCCTTATACTGATGCCTGAATATCTTTTGAGCGCTTCAGTCTCTATTCATTTTACATATATACTAACATATTTCAAATTTCTTAATTGTCCATGAGAACACAAATGCTTGGAGCCCCCCTCCCACCTTAAAAGCTGAGCCAACTGCAAGTGTTTTTTTCGTTTGTTTTTTCTTTCCAGAGATGAAAACAAAATCTCTGTGGCACTTTGGAGATTATGCTACATGCTGCTTTCATTTATTCTTTTAAAATAATTAAGACAAAATAGTGCCA